CAACAACAACAACAACAAACAACAATTGGTTCAATTAGCTTTCGTGCATCTCTTCCACAGTCATTACTTATATTCATATCAAATGTCAAAAATTCTTAATGAGTCTTACTATCAACATAGCATAGTTCTCATTTGACTGAAATTGTTTTAGTGTCCTTTTACCTAAAATAATCCATAGTTAAAAACACAACCACCTGATGGCATTCATTAATTATTACATTAATAATCATTAATCATCATTAATTCTTTTAACTGTGACATCTGATGGAAAAGGGAGGAGGACATCCCCCCCCCCTTCCTGGCTTTGCTGGCCTTCCTGAAAGTGCCAAATACACAGCCATGCCTCTGAGTCATGGGCCAGGCGGTGGGGGGCGCCCCCCTTGAGGGGATGATTCCAGGTTTTGGCGACCATGAAGAGTGTTGGTGGGATTTCCTATCAGTTTTGTGGTCGTGGTTGTTGGCTGCCCAGAAACGAGGGTGGCTGGGAGGCCATAAGGAAAAATTCCTTCACTAGCTTCCTGCAGCAGCAGGATGGACGGCATGGGCTTTTTGGGGGGGGGGGGGGGAGGAAGAACATTAGTTTCTGAGAGTCAGAGAAGATGTAAGTGGAGATGAGAGCACTAGTTAGGGTGAGCCAATCTCATTGCTCTTTTAGGGGAAAGAGATGGTGGTGGTGGTGGTTTTTTTTAAAAAAATAACCAAGCTAACTGTGGCCCCTTTAGCCTTGCTGACATTTCAGCCTTGTCTTGCTTTTTCCACGAAGAGTTCTACCAATATCATTCAAATGGGGGGCTCTTCCTGCCCTCATTTTCATTGAGGATATTTCTCTCTTCAGAACAGAGACAACTACATCCGTTCCTGCAAACTCCTTCCAGATGGGCGCACACTTATTGTGGGGGGAGAGGCCAGCACCCTCACCATTTGGGATCTGGCTTCCTCCACCCCCAGAATCAAGGCAGAATTGACCTCCTCCGCCCCTGCCTGCTATGCCTTGGCCATCAGCCCAGATGCCAAAGTCTGCTTCTCTTGCTGCAGTGATGGGAACATTGCTGTCTGGGATCTCCATAACCAGACCTTGGTTAGGTGAGCTTCTCCAAATCTGAGGGGTTGCTGGCATGAGGGGTTTGCAGGTGGCTTCCATGTTCTTTTGTTTAGAAGAAGGCTTCTCACAGTCTGGCATTACAAAATTATGTCCACTGGGAAATAAAGGAGGAGAAGCCGAGTCGGGACCAGAAGAGCCGCTTCTTCAAAGCCCTTCCTTGCTTGTCAGCATTCATCCTGTGCTCGTCCTCAGGACTCATTCCTTACCTTGCTTGGCTCTTCCGTCTTCCAGCCGGATACCTGAGAATTCCTCCGGGATGTCGCCCAAAGGCTTCTCATCCTTACAAGGGGAGAAATTTGGGCTCGTGAATCCCCAGATTCTGCTGGAGGAGAAAGTGGCCAAGGAAACCTTTGCCCAGGTTTATCTGCTCTGCCGATTGTGTCCTCATCTGGACCAGGGTTCCTTTCTCGTAGCCACTCGTGTATGGAGTACTGCATTGGGCTGTTCTGGGGCTGCCATTGAAGACTACTCAGAAGCTGGGAGGGATCAGAATGCAGCCCTAGGGGTGATTACAAGCAGTCACGGTATCAGACTTGGGCTAGTTACCAGTGAGCATCTGGGTACAATTGAAGCCTATATTAAGCCATGGGGTCTGGTTATCCCAAGACTGCCCTTCTCCCTTTATGTCTGCCCAGGGTCCCGTCCTTAAAACAGGGTCATTTAATGCAGAGGTCACCAACTGGTTGTCCGCGAGAAAAGTTTGGTGGTCCACAGAAAAATTATTTGCATTATTTATATTGCACTAAATCAGGGGTCCTCAAACTACGGCCCTTGGGATGGATACATGCAATGAATGCTTGTGTTGCTGCAGAGAATCTCCCCCTTCGGGGTCTTTTTGTGAGGGTCGGAGGGGGGGGGCGAAATTCCCACTTGGGGTCTGCTTCAGCCTCTTGGTGGGGGGCTTTGGGTGAAGGCTGGAGGGAAGCACCGCTGGTGGCAAAGAACCTGAGGGCCTCGTTCCAGTGGGACTGCTTCATGGCCTGGAACTGGCTGACCATCTCAGCCCTCTGAGCCTCCAGGCGCCGGTACCTGGCCTTGCACTCCCGCAGGTCTTCCCTCTGCTTGGAAAGTCTCTGCTCGTAGTCCTCAGTGAGGTGTTTCTGCTGAGCCTCCTTTTTGGTCATCCAATTTGAACTGAGCTGTTTTGCCAACTCTTTCTCCTGGTGGCTGCTTACCTCCAGCAACTGCTTCCTATTGGGGCCCTAAGGAGCCCGGGTAGGCAGGCGAGGAGGGGCTGGGAGGGGAGGGGCGAGTAGAGGCTAGTAAGGTGCCCCACGTGAGTGACATTGAGTTGGCCACGTCCACCCAGCCGGTCATTAGGAAGATCATATTTAAAATTATGAATTTAGTGGCCCAAGAGTTCCGAAAGGTTGGTGACCCCTGATCTAATGAATCCTAGGATATGTACCATCTGGGTGTTGTCACTTCCCCTCTGGAGCAACATCCCCCAGGGAGTTTGTGTGGCCTGACCGTGTGGTCCTTGGAGTGAAAGCCTGCCCTTCCCCAGGTGCTGAGGTGCCCTTTCCGTGGGCCTTTTGCATGATTAGACTTTGTTACTTGTTTTATTGCCCACCATCTTACATGGGGGGGGGGGTGTTATAGGGTTTTTATTGTAAACTGGCCAGAATGAACTGAGTGGCTCTATAAATTTCATAAGAGAAGTAAGAAGAAATAAGAGAAGATTCAGAAACCCTCTTTCCTTCTCTTGGTTCCCTTCTCAGGCAGTTCCAGGGTCACACCGATGGTGCCAGCTGCATCGACATCTCCCACGACGGCACCAAACTCTGGACAGGGGGCTTGGATAACACCGTGCGCTCCTGGGACCTTCGGGAAGGCAGGCAGCTCCAGCAACATGACTTCACCTCCCAGGTGAGTTTTGCCTTGGCCACAAAGGCCCAACCTCTCTGAGCCAGAGTCTTTGCAGGGAGGAAGAGCTAAAAGGACCGTCCAAGAAGTGCCAGGTTGATGGAGGTTGATTCTAGGACCCAAAAGAGCCTGGTGGAGGTAGGGGGTTATTGGTGGCCCATCAAGCAGCTACCAAACTTGCTCCTGGAATCCCAGCCTGAGTTGGATTTAAAATTCATGAAACCCAACAAGGGGCTTCAGTTTGCAAGGCAAAGCCAGGCTGAAATAAGAAATAACCTGATGCAGGAAAAGAGGGAGGGCTGTCCTGGGGACATTTCCTTTTGGGGGACAGGCAGCCTGGCAGCAGAACCAGCCCTCCCCCCTTTCTCCTCCTTGCTTTGGTTGAGTCGAGAGGCACCTCGGAACAGCTGCCCCTTGTCTTCTTGGTAGATCTTCTCGCTTGGCTACTGCCCAACAGGCGAGTGGCTTGCAGTCGGATTGGAGAGCAGCAATGTGGAAGTGTTGCATCACACGAAGCCTGACAAATATCAGCTGCACCTGCATGAAAGCTGTGTCCTCTCCCTGAAGTTTGCCTATTGTGGTGAGTGCCTCTTGGGCCGAGGGTACAATTCAGTGGCAGGGATTGAATCTCGCAGCTTGGTGGTCCTGGATGCAGGAAAAGGCTGCTTGAGACCTGGGAGGAACCAGGTGTTTCCTGAAGCTGCAATTAAGCATCTGCAGCTGGCTTTTTATCCCTGCAGCAGGAAGGGAAGGCAGGTAGATGTCCTGCCCATTTTGAGAACAGGTGCGAATAGGAGCAGGGAATAGGCCTGGGTCACCTGTAGCACAGGCTTCCTGGCAGGAAGTTAAGAAAGTCCTTTGGATTAATGGTGCTCTCCGCATTCTTGCCTTGTTTTCTTGTTGGGGAAGCTAACACCCGCTTTGTGTCTGTAGGAAAGTGGTTTGTGAGCACGGGTAAAGACAACCTTCTCAATGCCTGGAGGACCCCATATGGAGCCAGCATCTTCCAGGTGAGAGCCTTCCCCTGGGTTTGGGGAAGGGGGAAGGCTGATAGGGCAGCAAGAGTGGCTCCTCTGAGTCTTGGGTAGTCTGCAACGCCCCCTGTTCTGTGCCAAGAGAGCCACCTGCATGCTTGTTCTCCATTTTCTTGTGCCTACCCACAGTTGCAGAGGCATGTGCATGCAAGCGCCAGCAAGACACTTGCTGATATTACTGTCTGATCCTGTGAAAACTAAGAGGGATTGTTTTTTCTTTTTCTTTTCCCCATCAAGTCAAAAGAATCATCTTCCGTTTTAAGCTGTGACATTTCAGCAGATGACAAATACATTGTCACAGGTTCGGGTGACAAGAAGGCCACAGTTTACGAAGTAATCTACTGAGTAGCTATGACTTGGCTAATGACTCTGGCAGAAGAACGCAAAAGGAGAGCATCTGAAGAAGGGTCCTTTGATGCCCTCTGGAGGGCTTTATGACCTGGTTGGATCTTTTGGAAGGGACTTTGAAGCTCAATAATCCAGCTGATCAGTGGCAACGCATTGTCCATGCTGGTTTGTGTTTTTCTCTTGGTCCTTAGGCCTCACGCCAGTGATCAGAAGGTAGCTAACACCCTGGATGTGCATTCAGGAGGGGCCCCGGGGTCTCCTTTCCCCATCAGACTTGTAGGAACTGTAGATAACAGGAGCTTCATGCTGAGGCTTCCTTGGTCTGCTGGTCAGCAGCGTGTTGTCGCCCTCTTTGATTTCTGCTGCTGCTTCCTTGGTCTGCTCTTGCTGTGAACTGCTTCTGTTTGGCTTCCATTCTGGTGGTAGCCACCATTATTTTTCTCCCAACCCTCCCCTCCCTTCCCCTTGAAAATATGCTTGGAGATACTCTTACCAGCCTCGTGACCAGCCTGAGCAAAGGTGTCCTCCATGAAATGGTTTTCTCTCTTGGATGTGTGAACTGGTTCTTCTGGCGTTGAGTCTTCTCAGGGCCAGGTTTGATCCGTCAGCTGGACCCTTCTCTCCTGATTCTGATGGCAGCGGAGAAGTTGCCGTTTCCAAAGCACTTGTCAGTCGGGGCAACAGAATGCCTTGCCCCCCTCCCCCAGTGGGCCCTTGCCCATTGCAGCCTTCAGACCCAGACACTGAGAGGACCGGGGGGGGGGGGTTCGGGGACGCAACCGTTAACTAATAACGCTCAGGGAGCAAAGAAATAGCAACTTGTGGTGGTTTTTTTTTTTTACTCCAATGAAAATTAAGTAATAGATAATAATGTTTAAATGCAGGTTGTTTTTTAATTTGACTAATGAACAT